CCCCCCCCATTCCTGGAGTCCAGGGGCTTACCTCTCCTCAGGGGACCCCATTGGCCCCGATACCCAAAGGCCAGGAACCCTGCTCTCCTCACAGGAACCATTGTTTCCCATCCACCAAGGCCAGGGACTCAGCTTTCCTCATAAGACCCCGTTGCCCCCCTTCTCCAAAGTCCAGGAACTCTCCTCACAGGACCCCATTGTCCCCCATGCCTGAGGTCCAGGGACTCACCTCTCCTCATGGGACCCTGTTGTCCCCATCCTCATGACCTCAGTGGGCCCTCAGCCTAGCCAAGACCTGTGGGTGGAGATGCTGGTGCCCAGGAGTTTCTCTCCTGTGAGCCAGCAGTGGGTTGGGGACATGAGGGTCGCTGGGCAACCTCAGGGGGTCCACCATGGAAAGAGAAAGAGGTGGAGGTGGGGGCTGCAAGCCTCACAAGGTAGAGGAAAAGTTTTGATTTTTTTCCATTGAATGCCACAGAATTGGGAATAAGGTGGGGAGATGTTGGGTGCTCAAGTGAAGGAAGGGGGTGGGACAAGCTTGTGCAGTGGGTTGGGGACATGAGGGTCGCTGGGCAACCTCAGGGGGTCCACCATGGAAAGAGAAAGAGGTGGAGGTGGGGGCTGCAAGCCTCACAAGGTAGAGGAAAAGTTTTGATTTTTTTCCATTGAATGCCACAGAATTGGGAATAAGGTGGGGAGATGTTGGGTGCTCAAGTGAAGGAAGGGGGTGGGACAAGCTTGTCCCTATTCCTGCAAACCAGAGACTCCCTCCCTGCTGGTGAGCTTGGTCCTGGGGTGGCCTCGCTCTGCTGGGAGAGAGGGTCTGGGAGGGCACCACAGGGTATCTATCGTCTCATAACCCTTGTTCCAAGGCCAGGAAAGAGAAGGGGTCCTCTCTGGGGTTCCTCTGGGTTGAGAGGTGGTGGCTGGGCTCAGGCCCTGGACATCAGCAGAGGCCAAGGAGCCATGCAAGTGTTGAGGTCTGGAGGAGGGTGAGGAGAACACCCTTCCCTCTGCCACCACACCCTGCCTGCCTTCCCCTGGCCTCTGCTGATAGAGCTGCAGCTGCCAGGTCCTCCCGGCAGGACCTGGGCTGCTCTGAGCCGTCCCCCATGCCCACGTGCAAGTTACTCCGTGTAGTAGTTGTTGCTTCCCTGTAGAGGTCAGGAATGCAGCACAGAAGGAGTTGTCATCATTTCACCCTTCTCCTGAAGTCTGCTGCAAACTCAAGGTGTCAGACAGACCATGGCTGCCAGCTCCAGCCTGGCCTTACCCCTCCACTCACACTCTGGCACCAGGGAGGTGGAACCATGGCCCTGTAAAGACAGTGTGCAGGCAAGAGAGAGATCTACATTATCTTTGCAAAAACACACAAGGATTCGAGGGTGTGGTGATAACAAGTTCGCCAAGGCACCAACACGTGGCCAATGCTGAGGAGCTCAGTCCTCCTTTAGCGACTCTGAAGGGTCTGAGAAACTCAGAGCTGGTCTAGTCCTTGCTTGTGCCCTCTGGAGAAGCCCGAGGGCAATGAGGCAGTCAAGTATGGGGACAGTGCCCAGCTGTGGGAGCAGTGGAGCCCACAGCCCACCCGCAGACCCAGAGCTCAACGGGGTTGCAGTGGAACCAGGCTGGGGTCACCACACGGTGCCCCAGGGTTGGGAAGGTGGTAAGGGGGCCTCACACAGTACTTAAAGACTTTGACACAGTTCTCCCCTGCGTCTGCCACGAAGAGGTGCCCGAAGGGAGAGCAAGCCATGCCAGCAGGCCTCCGCAGCCCCGCGGACACCAGGCAGACAGGAGCCCCGTGCTCTGGGAACAAGTGGACTGTACGGAGCTGCTCGTCTGCCACCAGCACGCTGCCATCCACGTCAACGCAGACCCCAGCGGGGTTGCCAAAGCGGTGTCCGTATTTGCTGCTGAGGGAGCAGAGGAGCCTCCGGCTGCTCGTGAAGACCTTGACGTCTCCACACTCCTCGCTCACCACGAAGCCCCCGCTGGGCGCTGGGCTGACGTAGCGAGGTCCCTGCAGGTCGGGCACGGAGTGGGCGTGGAGCACCTTGAAGGCGTGGTCCAGGGCAAAGCTGTGCACTTGGCCTTCTGCATAGTCTGCTACCAAGATCTTGCCCACGGAGTCCACTGCGATACCCCTGGGGGAACCGACCTTTCTGATCTTTACCCAGTCCCCCTTAGAGAGGCCGGTGTGGGGGTTGAAGACCCAGACGGCTCCATTCGTCATGTCGGCCACGGCCACCATTCCTGCCCGGGTCACCGTCACGTCTTCGGGCAGGAAGGTGCCTCCTCCCTTCCCGGGGTCCTGGCAGGGCAGGGAGCGCAGGGTTCGGCCCGTGCTGCCCAGGACGTGGACCCAGGGAGCACCCTCGGCTGTCACGTAGGTGGAGCCGTCCGGGGAGCGGTGGATCCCGCTCACCCCCCCGTAGCGGCTGCCCCCGGGGTTGGGGATCTCCCGCACCAGGTTGTCCTGGCAATAGTGGAGGAGGTTCTTGATGTTGTCCAGATCTCCACACAGGCTCTTGGCCTTATCTGCCAGCTGGTGGACTTGGTGCTGTGTCACCATGCCCATTCCACGCCGGCTGCTCAGCAGCGGGCTGGCTGTCTGGAGAGTGGCGATGGACTTCAGCTGAAGGCTGTAGATGGTTTTCAGAAGCTTCTCCTTTTGCTGGCTCATCTGCAGGGTGTAGTCCATGACCAATCTCTCATACCTGTTTTGGGGAAGCAGTAGGACTGTTACTGTCCCTGCCATCTCTGGAGACACGCTCTGAGCTCAGGTGCTGGCTCTCTGTCCGGGCTCATGGTGTTGGTGCTAGTCTGGATTCACTCCAATGCAACAGAGTCCATATCACAGCCCCACCAGCTAGTTATGTGCTCAGGGTATAAAGACAAACAGGGACCATGGCACAGAAGTAAGGAAGTCCCCAAGCTGGATCTGCAGCTGGAGGAACCAACCAAAAAGGTCCATCAGCTTCAACAACAGCTTAGCCTGAGGATGTATGCGTGAAGGAGAGCCCTGTGTGTAGGCACACTGGATGAGATCTCCACCTCTCCAGTTCCTGAGATTAGTGGCTTCTCTCAGATCTTTAACGCTTCTTAACCTTATTTTCCATAAACCTCAGCTCTCCAAACCATGTTCAGTCCATGCTGACACTTGAGAAACTGAGGAGGACTATTCCTCCACTCCCGTATGGGTCAGATGTCCCACTTGATGGGCCATCAAGTGTGTTTGCTAAGGACAGCCCCTGCCCCACCCAAAGACGTTATTCCTGAGACTGCCGACAGCTCATCAGGAAGAAGGGAGATGCTGCTCCAAAGGACGTGTTTAACCTACACAATTTTTTCAGACCTGAGAGACTCACCTCAAGAATCACAATTTCTTTTTTGCCCACTCTCTTTCTCTTTTAAAACCAGAAGGAAAGAGTCCCCAGAAAAGGCAGGGATGACATGACAGCCTGGCTCTGCCATGTGGTCTCCAGGGGCTGGCTGGAGCACGGCTCAGAGCACACAGCCAAGAGCTGGTAACAGAAATGGTAAGAGAAATGGGACCTCTTTAAAGTTTCTGGAGAGGCAGAAGTCAACGTTGCTTTCAATGTCATTATAATTAATATTATAATGGACACACTCGGCTGCTCTGAGTTGTTTGCAAGCCACCACTCCACCTTCATCACCCTCTGTCCCACAGCTGCAGAAGTGACACTTCCCCAAAGCAGAGCTGAAGGAAGCTGGGCTGAGCTAAGTCATGCTGGGTGCAGATTGTCCTTCCTGTGTGCAAACACCACCATTGTCTAAAATCACCTCCTGAACACCTGCAGAGCTAGCAAATGCAAATATGTGAGGGTAGGGATCATAGGGTAGGGTAGTGAATACAGAGGGAACCTAATTTCTGCTCGTTTAGGGGCCTGGGAACAGCTTTGCCACCTTCTTCCCCAAAGTGGTTGTGCTTTGTGTCTCCAGCAGCAGAGACCTGCAAGCCCTCTGCCACCCCACCCCACGACTTCTTTTTGGGGTTCCCCTTCAGAACTGGACAGAGTTCCAGATACAAGAAATGGGATTTTACAGGTGGGGAAACCGAGTCACCACCCTGGAGCTGACGTGCCAACACCACACCCCCCTCACCACCTCGCTTCCCGGGCGCTGGGCACCCAAAGCCGCCCTCAGACCCTTGATGGTGTCTCCACCGTGGGTCTAAGCCCACACTGAGGGCCCTGGCACTGTCCTCAGCGCAGCTCAGGCCAGCGACCACGTGTGGCCACGAGCCCAGCCCAGCAGCCCCTGTACCTCTGTGCTGAGGTCCCGGGGGTGCCCGTCCTTCCCTGGCAGCGCTGCCCTCCCGCCGGCTGCGTCCTGCTGCCTCGCCAGGCTGCGGGGCCCAGGGCTGCTGTGTTGTTAGTGACGGGCGACTGCCCTCGAGTCCAGGTAAACACAAAAGCTCCTTGTGCTGACAACCAGCAGCAGCGAGACGAGGGCTGATCTGCGCTGTTTCTGTTCCCTGCCAGCCTGATGCCCAGGGAGAAGGTGCCTTTCCCCCAGGATCTGGCCGTGTCCCATCCACCCGCTCCTGCCAGAGGGAGGAGAAGCCCCACGGTGCCCAGCTGCAAACATGAGTTGGGGCTTTTCTGTAGCTGCAAACACGAGTTGGGGCTTTTCTCTAGAGGTGAAAGGGCTGATTTGCTGAACCTCACCCTTAGTGGGAGATGGAGCTGCTGGGGTGGGACAGGGATGCTCACACCCCGAATCAGGGCCCCTGCCTTGTCTCACCCCTTCACTGCCTCCCCGTGTGCTCCCAGCCTGGGCATCGTGTGGCTGTGTGCCTCGGTCTCCCCACTTGTAAAAAGGAGGCTGGAGGTTTTGGCCATGTCAAGCTTTGAGGTCCAGTGATGGAGAAGCTCTAGGAAGAGGCAGATCAGCCAGGACCTGTGGGCACAGCCCCCCCCCTCCATCTCCAAGCTGCTCAACCCTGGCTCTCCCCAGCTGGGCAAGGCCTTGTTTGGAGTTGACGGGGGTGTTTACCAGCTCAGCTCAAAGAAAGAAGGTCAGGAGGAAAAGCAGAGTCAGCTGGGACTGGCTTGTAGGAGTCTGGTCGGTGCCTGCCCTCCCTCCCTGATGGTGCCTTGAGACTGTGCTCAGTCCACCCCTGCCCACAGCAAGATCAAAGCATCCAGCTAAAACCTGGCCAAGGTGTGAAGAAGTTTGTGTCTGTTCAATACTCTGGTGGGCCAAAGGTCAGTGAGGTTTGGATGGGACTCCTCTCACCTTTTGGGATGCTTGGAGGGGCTGCATGTGCCTGGTCTTTCAGATGAAGGAAGCAGGTTGGGGTGTGGCTGGCTGCAGGAGCTGTGGGATGGGGATCTGCTGCTGAAGCCCCAGGGCTGGGTGCTCCTCTGTGTTTAGGGCTCTTCTGGTCCTGTATCAGTGTATCCCCAAAGCTCACAGCATCTGGGGGGTGGCTCCAGGCCTATTACCAGCCAAAATTACAAAAATAACTTGCCATGACAAGTGGTGGCCGCTCCATCCGAGCCCCAGCAGGACGGTAGGCAGCTTCAAAAACCATCTCCCAGGGCAACAGGGTCTGACCTTTTGTTTCACTGTGGTGTGCTCCATCACCAGGATAAACAAACACAGCCTGGCCCTGGGGCTCCCGTTCACCTTTGCAGGACCGTGGCTCTGTCACAGCCTGTTTGAAAGCCACCCCCGGACCCCAGGAGATGCCTGTGTCATGGCAGGACAGCCCATGCCCACGCTGACACCGAGAGCTGCAGGGTTCAAGGATGAGGGCATGGGCAGGCTGCTGGTGCTGGAGCTGGACCAAGGGGAAGAGAGTTTGGCTCCAGTTCAGCCTTTCCTGGAGCACATTACTTGTGTGGTGAACCTCTCCCCTTGTGGCTTTTCCTCCCCTGGCCCAGGGGCAGCAGCTCTTGCTTGAATGTCCACAAGGAACGTGCAGCCCCTGGGTCTCTGCCAGTCCACGTGCCCGGGGAAAGGGTGTGCAGGGAGCCAGCAGGAGATTCCTTGGGTGAGACAGTCTCATTGCCACCTAGTGACACACTTGTGAGAAAAGCCCAAACCCATCAGCTGAGGATATTTCCCTGCCTGGAGCACAGCTCTGTGGGTGGGGAGAGGCCCAGGGGACAAGGCTGGGCACAGTGTCAGAGCAGTGTTGATGGTCGTGGTGCAATGAATCCTTCCTGTAGCTGAGGTCCATGCTGGATGTCAGAGCTCTCCAGCCCTGAGGGTCACACAGACTCCCAGCATGGCAGGGTTTAGAAGGGACCTCTGGAGATCACCTCATCCAACCCCTCTGCTCCAGCAGCTCCCCCACAGCAGGGTGCCCAGGGTCACAGCCAGGAGGGTTTGGGATCTCTCCAGAGCAGGAGACTCCACAGCCTCTCTGGGCAGCTGCTCCAGGCTCTGCACCCTCACACCAAAGAGGCTTCTCCTCCTGCTCAGGTGGCACCTCCTGGGTTCCAGTTGGTGCCCGTTGCCCCTTGGCCTGTTGCTGGGCACCGCTGACCAGAGTCTGGCCCCAGCCTCTTGATACACACTCCTTAGATATTAGATTATTAGAGGTTGTGGAGTCTCCTTCTCTGGAAAGATTCCAAACCCTCCTGGGCATGATCCTGGGCACCCTTCTCTGAGTGACCCTTCTGGCTCAGGGAGTTTAGATGAGATGGTCCTCAGAGGTCCCTTCCAACCTCTATGCTGGGGTTCTGTGAAGTCAGCTCCTCTTCAGACATCACAGAATTCCCTCCAGGGAGGAACGTGGTAACTGCTCTGATCCCTAAAGCTGCCCCTGTGCTGTTCTCTGCCAGGCATGGTCACCTCGGAACCCCTGCTGCTGGTTAGCTAACCCATGGAGAAGGTTCTCCAGGGTCTGATAAGGGCTGAGCTAAAGCCTCAGCTTCTCCCTTGCTCTGTTCCTCTGCAGCCTCCCGCTCTCACCAGGCTCACACAAGGATTAGGAGTTTAATCCTCTTTGAGACATCCAGCTCCCTGTCGAGCCCGAGTGGAAGGGCCAAAAGCTGTGAAGCACAGCAGGGCACTGGCACAAAGCCCCTCTCCTGCCAGGAGCAGCCCCGTGGGCAAGCCCCAGCTGGCTCTGGTGGCAGTGTCCCCATTGCCACCCCCTTCCCCACCCATCCCAGGCACCAGGGCTGTCCCAGGGGCTGTGGGAGCTGGGCAGTGGTCCCACCAGCCTGGCTGCCTCCATCCCAGCCTGGCTCCTGCAGCCTCCCCACCCTGGCTCCAGTGGGGTGGTAGGAGGAAAGTGAAGTGTCCTCATGTCCTGGGCAAGGGACAACACCCCAAACCCCCATGGGAATGGGAGAGGAGCAGAAGCTTTCTGCAAACATGGCCCTGTGTTCAGCCTGGTGAGGAGGGCTCTGGAGCTCCAGGGGCACCTCTGAACCTCCAGGCATGGGTGTTCCTGGAGCAAAGCCGTGTGCCAGGAGCATCCTCTTATGGACAGTACTGGGCTGCTTGGTCCTCCAGGAAGGGTTGCTCTGGGTCTTGGCAGAGAAGTGGCCAGGCTGGCATGCTGGTGTGCCAGCTACCCACATCCTTAGGTACTGCACACTTAGAACTAGGCAGGAAACAACACTGGCTGTGGCCCCAGATCCAGGAAAACAACGTGGGTGTTTTGGCTTTGCAGCAGCCCCTGCCTGAGATGAGGGAGCCAGGGATGGCCGTGCAGGC